TAGTTACATATTACATAAATGGTATTTTACTATACATATCCTTTTGCAATTCATTTTTTTCTTCACTCGACTTTATGTTTTCAAGTATTATCAATGTGGATACATGTGGCTCTGGTTTATTTGTTTTAAATGCTGCTTAGTATTCCATTGCATGACTGTGCCATAATTTATTTTCCCACTCTCCTTTCCGTAGACATTTAGAAGGATGCTGCCTTGAACGTTTGATACAGTGGTCCCTGTGCACTTTGTGCAATAATCTCCTAGAGTAGATAAAGAGAAATGGATCTACAGAGCTCTGGGAATATAAACTCTCAATTTCTCTCATTGAAAATTATAGTTCTACTCACTATATGAGACTTCCTATTTCATGACACCCTTGTCAACATTTGGCATTATCAGATACATTTTCCATTCTGATGAGTTTAAATTGTTTCTTGCATGCCACAGAGACTGTATGGCATACTGATATGCCATATAATTCAAAATCCTACTCCACCACCTAGTAACAATAGGACTTGGGCAAATTATTTAACCTCTTTGAGTCACAGTTTAACTTACCTGTAAAATGGGAATAATACTAGTATTACCTCACTGTTATAAAAATTGACTTAATATATAAAAACCTTTAGAACAGCACTGAACTTTTCACATTTTTCTAAGAACTTCTGTGGGAAGAGAAACCACAGTGTGTGAATAATATTTCACCTGGACCAGAACTACTTTCTATTTTTGCTACCATAACATTTCTACTACATGTTGTCTTACATAGGTTTACTCTGATGAACTAGAAAAAGTAACTAACCATTAAAGCACTGTTTTGATGTGGAAAATACGTTTCACCATTTCAGTTTTCAAAGTCTTTTGAGACAAAGTTATCATAAACGGGAGACTTCCTTTAATACCTTTCTGCAACTGTTCTAATGTTACAACATTTTGTTTTCTTTCAGATGCCAGTGTGCAGCAGGCTTCACAGGGTCCCACTGTGAATTGAACATCAATGAATGTCAGTCTAACCCATGTAGAAATCAGGCCACCTGTGTAGATGCATTAAACTCATACAGTTGTAAATGTCGGCCAGGATTTTCAGGCAGCAGGTGTGAAACAGGTATATATCAACTCAGTGTTATTAATAGCAACAGTAAAAATAATAATATAATAGCAATATCAATTTTACCTGAGGCAAGCACTGCCTACATGCCAAAAACTGTGCTAAGTACTTTGTATTCATTTAATCTTCACCATCCAATAAACTAGGTACTATGATCCTCAATAGCATAGATGAGGATATTGAAACTAAGGGGGAAATAAAGAAAACTGAATTTAGCAGATGTCTTCACATTCTACATGTTTAGAAAGGACACTATGATAAACCACTTGACTTAGGAAGTGAGAGTCCATGGACACGTTTGACAATCAATAGATCAATGCTCAACTGTTTTCTCAGGAGACTGGAGACTTTTAGCTGTAGGACTTTTGCTATATTGAATGGACTATGCAGGTTTGGGGCAGAGCTGAATTGCTCATGAAATAGGGAATAGAGCCCCGAGGGAGGACAGGATGTTGCCCTTGCGCCCCTCCTCCTTCTCTCCTATGACATCAATTACTTCCTCTCTACTGAGTCATTCTCATCAGCATACAGACATGCTTGAGTATCTCCAGCTCTAATAACATTCCAATTCCACTTCTCCTCCCAATTACTTCCTATTTCTCTGCTTCCTTTCACTATTGAGTGCTTTTCCTATCTTATATACTCACTGATTATTTTATTCAAAAGAATCTTCTGTGTATTCTGTAAATAATATGTATTTAATTTTGAAACTGCTTCTCAGATAATGACATTCACTGAAATGAGCTTTGACAATAGTACTGCTTACCTACTGTTTACCTTAAACGATTGAAAATGCCTTGGAAGTGCCATGGTCTACACACTTTTCTTACTCATTGCAGAACAGTCTACGGGTTTTAACCTGGATTTTGAAGTTTATGGCATCTATGGTTACGTCATGCTAGATGGTGTGCTTCCATCTCTCCATGCTGTGACCTGCACGTTCTGGATGAAGTCCTCTGACATCACCAACTATGGAACACCAATCTCCTATGCACTTGAAAATGGCAGCGATAATACCTTCCTCCTGACTGATTATAATGGGTAAGCAGAAGTGTCAGGAAGGCTGTGCTCAGGACCATATCTTGGCACCAAGTTAGAATTGGCACTGACGCTGGGGGTTGGGGGAGTAGGAGTGTCAGATGCCACAACAGAACAGCAGGGTCACAATAATCAAACAGAGCATCTGGACAAGTTCTGTAAGAAGGCAAAGTTTTAGTGATAACACTTCATACATGTATTGTGTTTTACTAAGTATTGTGTTTACTAAGTATTTTCATATGTGTTAATTCATTTCATCTTCACAATGACCTGAGGAGCTAGTACACATTTCACAGATAGTGAAACGGAGTTGCAGAAAGTCTAAATGATTTGCCCAAAGTCTAAACGATTTGCCCAAAATCTCACACCCTGGAGGTGGCAAAGCTAAGTCTCAAACTCTGGCTCTAAGACTGATGCTCTTTCTTTTTAGTAGGACCTCCAAAGGTTATTTTGGTGACATTATTTATATTGTATATTGAGTATAAATCAGTCTGCAAGCTCAGTGTGCAAGATGACACTGCTTTATTTCTTTAGGATCAATTAATTTCAACTCCAGGGTCCCAACCCTCTGGGCTGTCAGGAGAGCCAACCTCATTTATACCCAGAGTTTTGCTAAAGAGCCATAGATTTGGGCGGGACTTCCATGTTGGTCAACTGTCCACACTACTTATCACTCAGCCATCCATTGACTTGGCCTTTGTGGTCCTTTCAAGATCACTGCTTTTTTTCACATGTGGAATACTTGGCAAGGCTTCAAGTTTGTACCCTTGATCTGGATAGATTCTTTGATGCACCACATGGCCTTTTCCTGTCGAATCTACCCAAATTGTTGGCCAACTAATGAGCAGGTTGCAGGTGTCAGAAACCCACTGAGCTCTCTTTCCTCTCATCAATCCAAAGGAATCTCAGTATTCTGGTGGAAATCTCCCCATCCTCCAACACTATTCTTCTTAGAGGACTTGAGCTTTCAGAAAAAAAAAAAAAATCCAAGAAGTTTGCAAAAACCCTCTCTTGAGGCAAAATATATATAAAGGGAGAACCTGTTGCCTC